ACGTTACATATATAAATATATATATTTTCAATCTCAAAATATTTGGGAATCACTGGGTAAAGAACTACAGCAATGTAAAATTAAAAAAAAAATATTTAGCAGCAAAACTAAATTTAAAAAATAATTTAAGCTACTTATAATTTAAAAAAAAATCAACATGGCTTCATTAAAAAATTAAATAATTGTAATAAAAATCTTAGTGAAAAATATGCATGAAAATAATATATTAAGCATAGTTTTCTTTAAATTCAAAAATAGTTTAGTAACAAAATCGTCAGAATAATTAACTTAGTAAAAGAAAATTATGTTAAATGAAATCAAGCTATTGCATATACTCCTTTCACATATTTCCATTAAACTCTTTTTCAATTTCTTTGTTTTCAAGCTCTAAATTAAATTAAAGAATATGTCTCACCCATTTAAACATCTCCCTAACGATTACTCATTAAATAAAAAAAATCAGAATATTGCATTACCTCCCACGTCTCACAAGACTTTTTCTCTAAGTGGAAGTGGCGAGTATATTTTTTATTTTATTTTTATATATTTTTGTACTTTGAGTTTTCTAAGGCTCCTTGGCACACATCATCATTGTCACAGCTCATGGCGCGTAATTAACTAAACAAACGTCATTAGGCATGCGCATGTATATGTGTGTGTGTCTGCGTGTGTGTGTGAGTGCGTGTGAGCCTTGGGCAAGATAACAACAACAACAACAACAGCAGCAGCAGCAGCCTTGTCGCTGTCGCTGCCGTTGCCATGGCCCATTATAGAAGTGGGCGGCTATTGGGCGGGGCATATCTGCAAGCGTGGAATAGAAGACAGCCAAACTAAGCACAGGAAATGAAAATCGCTGTCATCAAATGTAGCGCAATTTCTTGAGTGATTACAACAACAGAAGCGAGAAGAAGAAGAAGAAGCAACAGCAACAGGAGTGCCCACACTTTCAAAGTGATTACACGACAGCCGGAATAACAATGCAACGAGACAGAGGCACACAGACACACTCACACTTTGGCAACACTAAAAAAAAGAAGCAAAATCAAACAAAAATAAATTCATTTCGGTTCAATTTGAAAATGCTAAACCATCTCATACTGGCATACTCTATCTCCCTTACGCTCACCCTCTCTCTATCTGTCTCGATTCCCGCCCCAAGCTGAACTTAGTTCTGTGACAGTGTCACAGCTCCTCCGAGCTGACTCCTTGGAGCAATAAACTGCGCTAAATTCAGCTCATTGTTGTTGCTGTTGCTCCAGTTGCTGTTGCTGTTGCTGTTGCTTTGCAAATTGCTGACAATAAATGTTGGCAGCGACAACCAGCCACGCCCCCACTAAGGGGGTGAGCGAGAGAGAGAGCACCCGCATGCGAGTCGGCGTGACAATTTAAATATGCAAGTGCAAAATGCTATAGGTGCAATGAGCAGGAAACAAACACAGACGCAACGAGAACTCTACGCTAGGAATTGTATTTATTACAGAAATTAATTGATGCCGTAAACCAGAGAGCAAGCCAAAGAGGGAGAAATTGACAGAGAGAGATGCAGAGCCAACATGAAAAAAGCGAAATAGAGAATCCCAGTTAGCATCAGACCACAAATGGATGTAGCAGTTGCCAATGCGATTCCAGCTGAATCGATTACCAACTGAATTTTCAGTTTGAAATGAACAAAAACTATGCGAGCTCCTGATAAATGTAAAAACAACAAGAGACGCACTTGGGTATAAATATGATGGTAAATTATTTGAAAACCAACAAACACAAAAAATTAATTAATCGATTTTTGAGATTAAAGTCGAAATGCAAAAATATATAAAAATATATCAAATATTTATGAAAATATTTTGTATAAAAAAAAATGTTGCATTCGGGATGATAAAAAGAAACTGCCCGACTCTAATATATAAAAGTACATATAATATATTTTTTTATGTTATACAAAATTACAGCA